CGGAGGCGCTTCCCTGCTGGAGCAGTAACCGTGGTACAGAGCCCCGTTCCGGGCAGTGCCTGGCCGTCTGGGGCGGTGCGGGGGGAATGAGCAGCATCACGGGTGCTCTCTGGGAACAGACGTGCCAGCACTCCTCGTTTAGCGATACGAGCAGCCTGGCCTGGCGGGGTCGGTGCTTTCCTTTATCGGTGTGTGTAAACTGGGGAAACTTAACGGAGCGGCAGAGAACAGACTTCACCATCCCGGTCCTTTTGTGTGTGTACCATGCTTTTAATACCAGTTTTATAAAATAGGCTTACCTAATGTTAAAAATTAGAAATTATCCTAGCTGAGTTTAAAATCTCAACACCTAACGAAATCCTGTAACTTTTAAAATACTGTACTAATATTTTATGGTTTGTACAATTTGTATTGTGCAGTACTAATATTGGCTGTTGAGGTCTGAGAGGTTTCTGGACCACCAAACTGATGGAAGGCTGACAGCAAGTAAGTTTCCTTCTTTCTGACAGAAAAGCAGCAATTTAAGTCCATTCTTCTGATTTGCCAGTCCTTACAGTTTGGGTTTTTTTCATGTGGCTGCAAGGTGAAAGAGTAATTGTGAACATGCTCAACTGAAGTACCCTGTATGGGATTGAAGTTAGGCAGACTACATGGTGATGAGGTTTAGATTTGTTCAGAAAATGTATCATTTTGGCACAGGAAGACACAGCTGGAGTAGGAGTTTGCAGCACTATCTCTGATAATAAAAGTTAACACTCTTGTGTTTGTGCATTGGTAAAGCTTATGAAAACTGTAAGATATGCCTGTATTGACTGTGCAGAGAAAGGTGTGAAACAGCCCAGCTAATAAATACAAACAGCATTAGGTATCAGAGTTAATCAGAGAGATGACTGATTGAGACTGCACCATCTTTACCTACAGCTGTTAACGGACTCCAGCCATATTGTCTACTGCAGGGCTGCAGTATGCTCAAATGTGCAGTGATGATGTTAGTGCAAACCTGTTCTGCATGCAGCACAACTGTTTTCTGTAAATAAAACATCGCTCAGTGATAACAGTATGTAAATATTCCCAGTTTTCTTTCTTAGTTACGGCGATGTTTATTTTTCAGTTGATCCCATAAACAGCAATATATCTAAAAGCGCAATTACAAATGTGTATCTGTAGAAGCTTAAGCAGTGTTTGTGTCTGGAATAAAGTAAGAAACTTGATTTGGCTGCAAAATCTCATGGATTTTTCTTTCTGGATTATTTTTTCAAGTGGATCAGTTTCCCCATTTGATTCACCTTGTGACCAAAGTCTTATGCAAAGGTATTGTAGGGACAGGAACCTCTTTAGCAGTAATGCTGCTGAAGAGCTAACCATGAACTCAGATTTTCCACTGGAAGAATTTTTAAAAGCATTAGTAAAAACATTTATTTTTGTTACTTACTGATTCATCATGCTCTATTTCTAGCTTTCAATTGAGGAAAATGTGATATAAACAAAATTAATCATTTCATTACTCATGCAAAGGATAATGCTCCTATGATGAAATGTAGTAAAGATAATGGGATACAGCAGGAGTGGAAAATCCAGGAGAAAATACAAGAATTTTTTTGACAAAAGTGCATGATTACCAGAACTAGAATATGGCCAAGAAACCAGGAGGCTAAAAACAGCATCAAGCTGTATGTATCAAATTTGCCACAAAATCTTTAGTAACCAGTAGTAATTCTTCAGAAAAACAAAGTAGATATGCTGTACTATTTCCCTTCACAGCTTGCATGTAGCACCTTCCTACTGCAATGTTGGAGTAGCAAATAACTCTTTGTGGCTTGCACACCTTACGTTTCAGCATTTGACAAGATCAAAATAGGCAACAGAGCTGTGGAGATCACATGCATTTGCATTTTCTGTCCAGGTTATGGCCTAACCAAGGTAATTTTTATAATGCTGCTTCTCTTTTAGAAGTATTTTAAAGGCTCCTGAGGGAACATGACAGAAAGCTTAGAAGTGGTGTGGTTGTTTTATGAAACTGTTCTCCACCAAGAAATACTGTTTTTCGGACTCTTATTATCAATGTGAGTTTGCTCTTTGTTTTGTTTCACTCACAAAGGTTACACGAGAGCCAACATAATTTTCAGAGGTTGCCTAATTAATGAGTAGTGAGTCTTTTGTGAATGAAGGAATGATGGGATTAGATTGGGCCAGAAATGCAGGAATTTCCAGTGCACTCCCATTAACTATAGCCATGTTTCCTACTGAACCGTCATCACCATCTGTCCTGGTTTTGCTAGGATAGAGTTAATTTTCTTTTTAGTAATTAGAATAGCTGTATTTTAGTTTCAGTGTTTCAGTTCAGACTTAGTACGAGAAGAATGTTGATAACAGTACTGGTGTT